CCATTGTTCAGTAAATATATTGCCAATATATATTTTCTTAAATGTTTTTTTTCAGGCAGCCATGAAGTTTCTAGAGATATAAATTCACAGATTACCATATAAAGGTTTGGCTTGCTGGCAGCTCAGTTTAGCATCTTGTATTGCATAGTAGAGATTATATTTGTATGTTCTATGTTATATCCATCATTTTATTCTTCAATTTACTTTTTCTATACTAGATGAAGACATTTCATTAAGATGAACAGCATTTTTTTTTCTGTTTATTATTGTATGACAGCCTTGAAGCGAGATCAAGTTCCACCACAACCAGAGGGTTAAACTGAGGGTGGTAGCCAAGAGGATGTAGTCTGATGCATTTTTAGATCTGAGTGGTAGATATAAATTCGTGTGGATGGTAAAGTGATCTATCCAGATTTAGTTCAAATAGATTGCACTAAAAAACAAGGTCTGCCCATTACATCAGCGCCCCCTTCACCAAGTGCTATATGACAGTAGCAGAGAAATGCACCTGCACTGCAGAAGGTGATGTCACGATCCTTCCAGCAAGATCCCAGGAAAAGTTCCAACCCAGCGCAATTGAGAGATTTGGGATCCTCCTGGATTCCAGGAGCTTGTAGAAGGGATTGTGACATCACCCTCATCCATGCACCGCAGGTGGAGAACAGGGCAAAGGAAAGGATATTTTCCAAATGTTTTGCATTTCTCTACTACTATGATACAACAGTTTATAAAGGGGAGGAAGAAATGAAATGAGCAGGCCTTGCTTTCTAGTGCAAGTTCTACTTTAAACAATTCACCTTCCAATGTCAAATCTCCACTTCCTTACCCCCCTCTGCTGGTATACATGCCGATAGTGTTTGTAATAAAGCACAGTGCAAATACTCTCTTGTTCTGAGAGGTCACGTGACTACTCGGCTCTGGCCCCTTTGAACAGGCTCAACAACAGGGGTGACAGACCCATGATGTCACCTGCTGGCTTGTAGGGGGAGAAGGGGGTTCCCTCCCAGCAGCCTCAGATTGCTGGTCAATGACACACAGGGGGCGGAAATAAATAAAGGTATTTACACATTGCTTTATTACATCCACTATCAGCGTGCACTGTATATCAGCAGAGGGGAGGCAAGCTTGTATAATGGGTGTATTTGAGCCTTTCCTTCTATTTTGGTGAATCATTGCCAATCTTACCTTTTAAAATAATGTCATCACTTCTTTCATAAACACTCTGTGATATATCCGGTGCTATCATGGGGAGAAATGTATGTTTATCTATAAATGGTTACTTTACATACCTGGGTGGCTGCAGCTTAGAGAATGCTTCACAAGTCACTTGACATATATTTTACCGAGTCACTAAGGGAGCTGTCCAGGGTCCTGCTGAGAATTTTTGATTAGTGTCGTCAAGTGGTTTTTGAAACGGCACCGCTGATTTATAGAGCTCATATGAAATATAAATGCCATTTCACAGCAGTAGCTAGACCCCAGCTGTCATTTTACTAGACAAGGTGGAATTCTAACACCTGACTGGGTGATATAAGCAGCATCCTTTCCTGTCCTCAATTTCTCTGCTGGCTGGGTTCAGTCACCCATTATATTTGGCTTACTGCAGTTGGTGGGGACACTTTACCTTGTAGAGACCCTGGACCCCCCCCCCCAACATTGCTGTGCCTGTAATGTATCTCACTCAGCTCTTTGCTATGTAATGTGTAATCCTCTTGCAGTAATCAGTGGTGAATGAGCGTGTGCCAGCCACATACTGATCATGTACAGGGAAGGGGATACATTAGGAACTCTGCTCAGTAGGTTATGGTGGCCAATGGAAAGAGGAAACCAGTGTATGGTGTCAGCCACCCAAAACTTGAAGTATTATTAAACTCTCAAACTTTCTTTCAATAAGGAATCCAGATCAGACAAATATATATCACCCAGCAAGCTATTTCTTTACATTGTTGCCCAGGCATGGTCATCATGTTTCTGAACAGCTCCAAATCTCTCATCTCCCTTTCCCTGAACTTCCTGTCCAGTACAAAATCACAACGGGCAGAGCAGGCTGCAGTAGCTGTTCATCCACTAGCTTGGAGGAGAAAGGAGGAGTAGGGCGCAGGAAATGTCTTGCCTTGCTGTGTCTTTGTGTTTGTGGAGATACACACAAGGGTGGCTTCATAGGACCCTGCAAGGGAAAGGAGCCCCCCTCCCCCCAAACAGGATATCAGGACTAGTGCTCAGGGGACCAGCTGATTCTGTAGGAAGCTAAAAATTTACATCAAGGAGCAGCATCCATTCTAAATGATTTGTTGCCCACAGGACAAATGAGAATGGCTTCCTGTGAGGAAGGGGGAGGGGCCACCCTTGGATTGAACTCTGCTGTGGTCGGTTTGTTGCCCACAGGACAAATGAGAATGACTTCCTGTGTAGAAGGGGGAGGGGCCACCATTGGATTGAACTGCGCTGTGGTCGGTTTGTTGCCCACAGGACAAATGAGAACGGCTTGTGTTCTGCCTGAGGGCCTAAAGCCGTTGTGCCTTTTCTTTCAGACAATGTAATCTGCTCAATAGCTGGGCCCAGTAAAGCACTATAAATATAATACTGAATTCTGTGGTTTTGTTCACTCCAAATAACAATTCTTCTACAGGTTGTACATATCTATAGTCACTTATTGATTGTTCCAAAGCACTGAGCCTGGTGGCGACTGCCAAACCATAATTTGTGTTTGTGACTTTTGCTGTAGATGAGTATGTTGCGCTGTAATACGATTTACATTTCCAGGGTCATGAACTAATTCTTGATTTGGCAGGAAATATGAAGTGATTTACCGTGCTAGATCATCGCACTTAGACTGCTGAACTGATGTTTAATAAAACGATAAATAGATGAGGGAATTGGTTACATGTTCCTATAGATTGCCGCCATATAATATATCAGTGGCATATTAATCAGGCGTGTGAGTTCCCAGCTATGTAAAGTGATCTATTGCTTCTTCAGCGGGCCATCTGTCTCCATCATTATGTGCAATCATTTTATTTAACATTCTGAGCAGAATCCCACTTAAGCTGATGCAGATTTTCTACAGTTTGCATTTGTTACCGGCCGTCAAACAAGTACTGCAAAAGGGTCTTTGCTTAAGTCATTTACCCTTTTGGACATTTTTCATATGTTGTAATATTATAAGGTGGAATTAAAATGGATTTCATTCGGGTTTTTGATTTAACATAAGACCCAATTCACACTGAGCGATTCGTAGCGCGATTTCAGCTCAAAAATCGCTCAAACATCAGCTCAATGTCGCTCAGTGTAGCTTGTCCAATGCAGCTCAATGTCGCCGGTAGCTTGTCGCTTGAACATGACCTACACGGCGGATTTCGTGCAATTTGGCCCCAATAGACGTCAATAGTGTAGCTCAATGTCCCACAAATTTGCACGACGTTGTCGCGCTACGTCGCACTACAGAAGGGTCACTTTTGCACAGAAATAAAAGCAGGAATAGAAGCCGGAAACACTTTTGATTGGATACAGCCCAATGTAGCAGCTACGAAGTCCATGCCAAAAGTAGCGCGATAATATGTGCAATGTAGCTCAATGTAACTCGATGTCACTCAAAGTCGATCAGCTCAAATCAGCGCTGAAAAAGCGCTTTTTCTGATGTAGCTCAGTGTTAATGGGGTCTAATGTGTAGAAAATGCAGAAATATACCTTACACCCTGGCCTTCACCCGCTCTGTGCAGGAGTGTCTGGTTGCAAAATTTGGCGATCTTCAGCTTTCCAAGAAGGCCCAGTGACATCACCCTTACCTAGAAGCAAGAGTGTAAAACGTATTTTTCATTTTTCTCCTAATGTTTGATTTTTGTTTTGTTTTAGCTGTATCGCTGCTTTTTACATGATGGGGGGTCTAAAACTTGAGCAGACCTTGACTTTTGATGCAAGTTCCACTTTAACAGAATCCACATTGTTTTTATTGTGACACCTAAACAGACCTTTTGAAGGTTGTATAACAGTTCACCCTCCTAAGTCATTTATTGGTAGATCTACCTTGGGCTGCAATTACAGCTGCGAGACTTTTGGGGAAAGTGTGTGCCAGCTTTGTACATCCGAATGCTGCAGTTTTTGCCTCTTCTTGTTGGCACAGTTGATCAGCTCTGTCAAGTTAGATAGAAATATTAATGAAAGGAAATGTTTGAAGTGTATGTCCAGCAAAACCTTCTTCTTGTTGATAGAGTGGGGAATGGTTAGAACGTCTTTTTCTATAGCCAGGCCTTTGAGATTTTTCCTCCATTCCTGTCCTCCTGGCAAAGTTTTACCAGACAGGAAGTGACTGTAATTCCTTCACAGCAGCACGGACAGAGATAATGTTTTTCTTAGATTATGGGAAGGCTAGAACCCCTGTCAGATTTGTATTTGCACCGGTGTCCCTATTGCAGATTTTGCCTCACTTCCTGCCTGGTGAAAATGTTCGAAATCTCTCTTAATGGTCTGTGTCCACAAGCATGGTTTGCATCAGGTGGGTTTTATATTGACATACAAGGCTATGGGAATACAAAATCTGCTTGAAGCAGGTCAAATGCACCTGTCAGTGTATTCTAAACTGTCTCAGAAGCATTTCAAACTAGTGCCATCAACACAAGCCGCATCTCATCAATGGAGGCCCTAAGGCCCCATTCACACCTATGCGTATTGTAATATGCGGGTCTGTCGCGCGACCGTCACGCGTTTTTTTTACCGCGATTCGCGGTAAAAAAGTCGCGCGATTCCAAAGGCTACTTGGCAGTATACAAATGGAAAACGCCCTACAAACTAGAACTTTTGTCTTGGCTTTGGTTTTTGCTTGCCGAGACTTTCCAATGATGTAAACTAACATGATCAAATGCAGCAGTTATTTTTCCCATATTAGGTGATCTGCCTGTTCTCTGTCACATATCTGGCACCATACAGTATGTTGCATGTTTCTATCTTGCTTGTTAAAGTGCATTCTGTGTACACATGTCTAATGACGGTCTGCTTCTCTGCAGGTGAACAATGAGAATGTGGTTAAAGTCGGCCATCGGCAAGTGGTTAACATGATAAGGCATGGAGGCAATCACCTAGTTCTGAAGGTTGTGACGGTGACCAGGAGCCTGGATCCAGATGATACCGCCAGGAAAAAAGGTACTGTTTTGTTATTTGTGTCATACATACACAACTCCCTGATACCAATCACTCGGCTCATTTCCACTGGCATCCACGTATTATTCATCACCAATAGCAATTCCTTATTTTACCACCCAAATCCTGGTTTAGTTGTCGTCCTGTGTTGCTGAGCCTTTTTCTTCTAAATCTATGCCATCTAATATTGTAATATGCTGTAATCCAAATAACATGTGAGGGATGAATGTAGAATGAGCAGGATCCAAATGTAGATTGAGCTCAATAAACCGTATCGACGAAGGGTTCTGATTGGCAGTGCATGGAGAGGAAGAGGCCTCTAGTGGGAGCTTCAGGAACAATCTAAGAGGCACAGAAAACACAGGCGCACCAGACCAAATGTTGAGAGCGAGCTTTGCAATCAGCTGGTAGAAACTGCTCTCAATACCGACATCTTATAATTCAAGTCAGTCATCTGGAATTTTTTACAGCAATGCCCTTTGGACATTGTATAATTAAAAATAAACTCCTTATGGTTTCCTAATATTTGTTCCAGAACTCCTGTACCCCTTTAATCCAAAAGCATGTCAGGATTGTAATTTGGTAGCTGTCTTTCCTGACTAGTTTTTAAACATTCAATAGATGTGGTTTTTCTCATCCTTCCTTCACTATTTGCTAAGTAAATATGTGTTCATTTGGTTTTCTGATGCTCCATCCTAGCTCCAAATTAGTGACAGACTACATGGTGAAGGAAAAAGAACAATAACAGCACCTACAAAAAGAAGGCAGTGATGGCAGCTGGTTGGTTTCCTTTTAAAAGCTAGATCCAACCCGAACTGATATATCTGTTGTAGGTGCAGACTGGCGAGCTGAATCATCTGCTTGTTCTTATTCTGCAATTCCCAGGACCTGTGGCTTGGCTTTATTCCTAATGCAAATCTGTTCCCTGGTGCAGAAAGACCACACTCATCAGGATGTAGGCGTTTTACTACTGTAGAGAAACAAGTCCAAGGATGGAGGATGTTTATTAAAACATTAAAGAGGAACTTCACCCAAAATCCTTAAAAATAAAAAAAAATATATATATACATATACACTATATTGCCAAAAGTATTGGGACACCCCAATATGTGCAATATGTCCATCCATGAAATTTCCTTGCTACTAAATATTCCACAGTCACCTGTTAGTGGTATTATAACAGAGTGGAAGCAACTGGGAACAACAGCAACACAGCCACGAAGTGGTAGGCCACGTAAAATGACAGAGCGGGGTCAGCGCATGATGAAGCGCACAGTGCACAGAAGTCACCAACTGTCTGCTGAGTGAATAGCTACAGACCTCCAAACTTCGTGTGGATGTCAGATTGGCACAACAACAGTGCGTAGAGAGCTTCATGGAATGGGTTTCCATGGCCGAGCAGCTGCATCCAAGCCTTACATCACCAAGTGCAATGCAAAGCCTTGGATGCCGTGGTGTAAAGCACGCCGCCACTGGACTCTAGAGAAGTGGAGACGTGTTCTCTGGAGTGACCAATCACGCTTCTCTGTCTGGACGTGTCTGGGTTTGGCGGTTGCCAGGAGAACGGTACTTGCCTGACTGCATTGTGCCAAAGTTGTGTAAAGTTTGGTGGAGGGGGGATTATGGTGGGGGGTTGTTTTTCAGGGGTTGGGCTTGGCCCCTTAGTTCCAGTGAAGGGAACACTTAAGGCATCAGCACACCAAGACATTCATGCTCCCAACATTGTGGGAACAGTTTGGGGATGGCCCCTTCCTGTTCCATCATGACTGCGCACCAGTGCACAAAGCAAGGTCCATAAAGACATGGATGAGCGAGTTTGGGGTGGAGGAACTTGACTGGCCTGCACAGAGTCCTGACCTCAACCCGATAGAACACCTTTGGGATGAATTAGAGCGGAGACTGGGAGCCCGGCCTTCTCGTCCAACATCAGTACCTGACCTCATAAATGGTCCAACATTCCCGTAGACACACTTCTAAACCTTGTGGACGCCTTCCCAGAAGAGTTGAAGCTGTTATAGCTGCACAGGGCGGGCCAACTCAATACTGAACCCTACAGACTAAGACTGGGATGCCATTAAAGTTCATATGCGTGTAAAGGCGTCCCAATACTTTTGGCAATATAGTATATATACATTTTATGTAAAAATATATGTAAAATACATGCTTATCTTATGTTGTATTCCGGTGAACTTTCTCGTCTCCGCACCGCTATCCTATGAAATCTGGCCAGGCCAATCCAGCGCATATTTAGGCAGCGCACTAGTGGGAACATTTGCTTTACACATTGCTCTGGAAAATGGCCACATAGGTGCCGCCAGGCCTGCTGTATTTATGTTGCCATTGCTATGACAAGATGTAAATTAAATTATTCCCCACTATTGGCGGCGCACCCAGCGCTGTAGTGAGGAATCATTTTGTTTACATATTTGGCCATAATCATTGCGGGATTGATGGTGTTTACATTGCCGTTGCCTTGGCAATGTATAAACAGAATGATCCCTCTAGAGCACTGGGGTGCACATGCCCAGGACAAGCACCACAATCCCAACATGTGGTCGTGACAGTTGTTGTTCTCTGTTCGGAAAGCACAGGGACGGCACCCTGAACAAAACTGTATTTACAAAAAAAAATACCCATATCTGTCACAGGAAGGGTCCAAAATAATATTAGGAAATCTTTAGAATTAGGGTGAAGGTTCACTTGACGTATTTGCAGAAAAGGTGATGTTGCCCATAGTAACGGCTCACAAATGGCTGCTGCAGGGGCAACAATTTCCTCTCTCTCTTATTATAGAAAGATGAAAGCTTGCGTTAGGCCGTGGTGGGTGACGTGCTTTCCTCTGTTACTACAATATCTGGCTGTTGTGGATAACGCAGCTTCCTCCATCTCCCCAAGAATGTGGCTCCTGAGGAGTAACGACATTGTATTACAGGCTGCAGTGTAGTTACTTTTAATCCACTTGTTAATTACACCGTGAATCTTGGGGTTTTTTTCTGTATTATTTTTATTTTGTTTTCGAATTGCGTCCCAAAGCTACCTTCTGTGAGATTCACTATGGCAACAAGCAGAAACACGCAGTTCACATTCCACAGCAGAGAAGAATAATGTAAGCAATACCCATAGAGCACACCAGGGAAATCAATTCTTCATGACCACAGCAAGCATTATAATGGCAGTTTTTATCCAACGCAAACCCAGCTGGACAATACCGGAGAGAGCGCAGTCATCAGCCCCAAGATCCTCCTGACCCACTCACATCAGCCTTCATTCACCTCGAGGTGTGAAAGCATTCCTCCATTAATCTCTACCCTGTTACTGTAGTGAAGGCCACTGAATGAGTACATCTGGTTATTTTGCTGCTTTACAATCTATCAGTACAATCTGTTCGAGATTTACCAATAATTATGTAGTACGAGGGCTTGCCTGATTGAAAGCACATTGTTTGGATGGTTTAGCTAGGTCCTCATATTACATAGTTTTTGTAAATTCAAATAAGTATTAAACTCTCAAACTTTTCTTCAGTAATGGATCCAGATCAAACCAATATACACTGAGTGGCCAGATTATTTTGACCACCTGACGTTTGTAGGCAAATTAGCTATAATTAGCTATCATTCCCTGAACTTCCTGTCCAATAGAGGATCACAAGGGACAGAGCAGTCACCAGCAGCTGTTCATCTACTAGCTTGGAGATGGGAGGGGTTGGGATCAGGGCAGTGTCTTGCCTTGCTGTGTACATGTGTTTGTGGAGACACAAACAGCTTATTAGCACACACAAGGGTGGCTCCATACCATGAAGGAGCAGCATCCATTGTAAGTGATGTCATCAGCATTTGAAATAGATTAAAAACCATTTGACGTTAATATCACTTTAAAGCTGATTAACCAAGACTTGCAGGGTTATTCACTAAAGTGTGAAGGGTTTGGAGAAGGCGGGAGAAGTGAACAATCTAGGCTGATTTGGAAAATTCTCCAATTCCAGTTCAGCTACTTTGTCCTAGATTGTTCACTTCTTCTGCTTTCTCCAAACCCTTCACCCTTTTGTGAATAACCCTGTTTATGTTCAGATTGTAATGTGTATGATGAACTTCTGATCCAAAGTGCAGGATATTGTTTTCAAATAAGTAGATGAGTTTAGTAGATCCATGCTTTCCCCCAACAACAGCTAAAAGCAATTTTTATTACCCATATCAACTAGAATTTCCATTTTACTTTCCTCTGCTTTACTGGAAACAGCAGAATCTGATTGGTTACCTTATGCTATACAAACTTCTTCTTGTAAAGCTCGGCACACACTACAATCTGATTGTGCAACCTAGTTGTTGGTAAATTTGATGGTGATGGTAGCATGTGTGGCCAGAATTACAGCAACTGATAGTGTAAGGGTCTAAGTAAACTGTATATCCAGCCAAATATTTTAGCTTTGGATAGAACGGAGAAGGAATATAAAACCTTCCAAGATTTTACTGATATCCAAAACTTTGTTGGACAGATTCTCCTCCTTACTGTCTCAAATCACAATGGTTACAACAGACAGGAAGTAAGGAAAATCTGTAACAAGGACAGAGATGCCAATAAATAGCTGACAGGGGTTCTAGTCTTCCCCTACTCTAATAAAAATGTAATTTTCAATCAAATAAAAATAAAGGAGTAACACTACTGGTAGAAGATTTAGGTCAAAACAAACTACCAATTTCTCAGGATGCAGATTGTGCAATGTCTTTTTTATGTATTTATTTACCAGTTCTGTGTAGTGTGAGGGCCTGCCAGACTCTACATAAATTGAATGGATTGTGTAAATTGTGGGATCAGCCAGTACGATTGGATATAGCGGGGAAAGATAAGGGCCCCCATAGAGAGGTTTACCCTCACTTCCTGTCCTTTTGACAACCAATAGTTTCTCGAGACAGGAAGTGAGGGAAAGTCTCCAAAGGCAACACAAAGAGAAATAAAAATGCTTTGTCCACCAACTTTGCCATGTTTGATGTGGTTTTATGTCTCAGCTTCATCTCATTAATATTCTCTGTTATGCTTTTAATTGATAAGTCTGTATCCTTCTTTTTAATGCGAAGCCCCTCCACCTCCAAAGCGGGCTCCCACCACTGCACTGTCCTTGCGGTCTAAATCTATGACCTCAGAGTTGGAAGAATTTGGTAAGGGTGTTCCTGTGTTGGCATGCAAAGTGTTGGGGTGGGTGAAGAGCTTGATTTGTCTATAAGTGCAGCATTCTGATGCCTGGTTATGGTGCACGCCATTGCATGACTTCCTAACATTCTGAGTGTGCCCCATGTTTGTGAAGTACATTTGCCAGCCGCAGAGAATGTTTTTTATGAAGACGATGCCCTCTCTGTGTCGTGTTTTACTGTGCTTTAGTTTTATTTCCTACTTTGTTCTAATTCTTCTCTCATTTTAATTTCTTGGGCCCTCTCAGCAGTGGATAAAGGTAAGATGTACAAGATCTGAAGGTTAGGGCCGTGATTTGGATGTTTCTTATTCAGGCAAGGTATAGAAGCAACCGAGACCATACGTAGCCAGTTGTGTGGCCGCACCACTCTTTCAGATTGATTGGTTACCACTGCCGCTTATTTCATAACCAATTAGAAAACAGGGTCTACTCACATGGTTGTCTGCCTTCCAAGTGTACCTGCCTGGAAGGCGATCTTTTTACGTTTACTCATTGTGATTCTCCAGGTAAAATCCTCTTCCCCTAGTGCAGAATTATGCCAATTTCTGACTGTGGCAGGACTACAACTTCCTGCATGGCCTGCCAGCTTTTGAATGCTACTTGCAGAGGCTTGAAATCTACAAATTCCCTTTCTTCTGCAGTATTGTTTGAGACTGACTACACCATCTATTGCATTTGATTATGTGTGACAAGATTTTTCTGTGTCCAGAGGATGTGCAGCATAATCTGCAGAAAACTTGCATATAAAAAAAGCTATTTGCTATGCCAAGCAATACATCTCTGCAAACGTAATTGCTGGTGACACAACGTGGCATGCACTAAGCTTTGACGGCTTGACATGAAGACCATTGGAGTGCGGTAACTTTCAGTATCCAGGAAACATAACACTAGCAGGTATCTTTTATTGGCCAAGTAGATTAAAATAGCAGACACCCCAAATCTCCTCTTACAGGAAAACTGTATTGAGAGGAATAAAGGGACTGCCATTAATGATCTCCATGTAAAAAAATACTAATAGTTGGGCAGCCTCTGTCTTTAGTACTTTAAGGCAATGATCAGGAACAAACATGGAGATTAGGAAGTCAGTGTAGAGTCACAAAAACCATTGCAACTAAACATCATGACAGCCAGATAACATTTTCAGAAGGAAAGTTCAGCAGTGGTGGCCTCCGTGTTCTTTTGCTACAGCTGTCCTGTACAATCTTTCACCGGGGTATGGCAGTTGGAAACATGGGGCCTTACAAACAATGATTGTTGTACTTTAAGTTACATAGAAGTGAGAAGACATTTTATTTTTTACTAATTTGGTTAATGTCTGAAAACAAATGTATTTTTACTCTACTTTTCCTGCTACTATTAATGCCACAGTACAAAACTTAGGGCCCCATTCAAAAAGCAGTAGTATGGTCTTCCCCCGGCCTGACCACTGCTTTACAATAAAAGATTACCACACATTTATAGAGCGCAGCTCTGTGCTTTCTACATGTGAATTGCACTCCACTGGCTTTAGCACTCCAAAGCTGGTGGAGCAGAGTTTTAAACACACACAAAAAAAAAGCTTGGAGGAAGAGCCTGGTCACATGACTGACAAATCATGTGACCAGGCTCTTCCTCCAATCAGGCTCTCCACCAATCACAGTTTTGCTTTGCTTCATGCGGCCTGCCAATCCTGACCTTTCCCTCTGAAAAGGGTAAATGCCATCTGTCTTTGTTTTCTTTCCTACTGTAACACTGACCCAAAACAAGCAAGCAGCCAGCGCAGTCAGAACACTGACCCAAAACAAGCAAGCAGCCAGCGCAGTCAGAACACTGACCCAAAACAAGCAAGCAGCCAGCGCAGTCAAAACACCTGACAGAACAAGAGACAACTCAGTGGGATGCCACAAGCTGAATACCACAATCTGCAGAGTATAATGGAGGATGGATACCGATATTCTCTTACTGTTAGAAATGAGCCCCATAGTAACAATAACCCATTTTTTAATGCTGATATCCGATTGGTTATTATGGCTGTGTGTAGTATACTGTTAAAGCAAGCCTGTAATGAGGGGAATATGGCAGCTGCCATTGCTGAACCTTTGTCCTGAAAATTCTTTGTGTGGGGCTACAAGCAAGCAGCCAGCGCAGTCAGAACACTGACCCAAAACAAGCAAGCAGCCAGCGCAGTCAGAACACTGACCCAAAACAAGCAAGCAGCCAGCGCAGTCAAAACACCTGACAGAACAAGAGACAACTCAGTGGGATGCCACAAGCTGAATACCACAATCTGCAGAGTATAATGGAGGATGGATACCGATATTCTCTTACTGTTAGAAATGAGCCCCATAGTAACAATAACCCATTTTTTAATGCTGATATCCGATTGGTTATTATGGCTGTGTGTAGTATACTGTTAAAGCAAGCCTGTAATGAGGGGAATATGGCAGCTGCCATTGCTGAACCTTTGTCCTGAAAATTCTTTGTGTGGGGCTGTCATGCTAATCCAAAGGTGTCATAGATTTTGAGTCACTGGGCCTGGAGCTAACATGCAGACCAGGTGTTCTGACTGCGCTGGCTGCTTGCTTGTTTTGGGTCAGTGTTACAGTAGGAAAGAAAACAAAGACAGACGGCATTTACCGTTTTCAGAGGGAAAGGTCAGGATTGGCAGGCCGCATGTTTGTCTCAATTTAGGTTTTCATTGAATAAAACCATTTAGCAGGTTTAAGCCCCCCCCCCCCCCCATATTTAATTTGCTGTATATTTATTGTTGTAGGGATGCAGAAGATCCCTTCATCAAGGCATTCTAGGGCCCTGTTCCTTATTACAGACTCAATATGATGACCTGCACATAGATTTACTATAGGGGTGCCATCAATACTGATCAGGAACCCAATATAAGCCTTTCATTGGAAAATGCCCAACATTTGTTATCAAAGGCACAGACAAATCAGAAAAACCAACTTCTCCGGAATCCTTAGAATTATTTTCTCATTTTGTGACGGCTGTGTAACGGATGGTCACATGGTCTCTGACAAAGGGAAGGATCAAAGTCCAAGGAGACCATGCATCAGAAGCCACCGTGCCATAGACCTTATGATCAATGGGATGGTTGACTGGAGTATACGTCTGTTAGAACGCATTTTCACAAATGAACAGCTTGTCATTTCATACAAACCCCAGCAGGATCCTGTACAGATTTCATGAACTGTAAATTCATTACAGACAGACTTATCTTTCATTAAAGTGTATCTGAACTCAAGAAGAAAAATGTCAATTGCAACGTACCCATCCTGAGATCTGTGGTCTGCATTCAATTTCTTTTCAGGCTTTTTTTCCCCCTTTTATCTTGTAATCCTGCCAGCCACACACTTCCTGTCCGAGGGTGACAACTCTTACTATCTGTACTGTATCTATGCGGGAGCAGTAGATGCAGCCTACCACAGAAAGTGTTTTAGCACTACAGAATTCTTCCATATCTCCATAACATTGAAGGGAGGGGTCTGTAGTCCACAGAAGAGAACTAGGAAGGCTGATAACATTGTTGGTTTGAGATTTTAATCCAGTGCCCAGGAAGTTACAAGCACTCTGCGTTTCTAGTCAGTTTTACTTAACAGATAAAACACATCCAATGGTATAATGACCAGATCAAAAGGGAGTAAATAAGAGACCTTCATTGTTGGGGTTTACAATTTATCAATGTAACAGTTTACTCTCCAGAACACTTTCACAGTGAATACAGAACTACTAAATGACTTGAATGCACTAAATGATCGAACTCACCGTCTGATTACACCAACTCTTTCTGTGAGTTAATATATGTGGCACAGTCATCAAATGATGTATGCAGATTGATGCGAGCTCAGCATGTATTAGGAAATGAGCTGTTGCTGTGAGTTTGTTAAAGTGACGATGTAAATTCATTACATTTTACAGTGTGGATCCATCATCTAGTTAAAGTAAATGGGAATAGTTCTGTGTAAATTGCAGTACACCAGTGACGGTACTTACTCCCATTGGATATGTGGTTAGTGCCTAATGTGTAATTATGGAATAGCTGCACTTTACACGAGAGTCTGATCTGTAACTAAAAGATTACTCTAACCATGGCAATCAATTATTTAAAAACCACTTCAAATCAGATGTCTGACAGGTCAGCAACTCACAGATTTCAGGTAGCCTGCGACCCTC